GGGCGCGCGCATGCACATGCGGGTGCAAACTGTTTCCTTTGCCTCCAATGCCCTCACTACCTCCACCCCACCCAGCCCTAACATCTAGAACCTTGCTACTTAAAGTGTAGTCCTGCAGCTCTGGCATCCTACAACCTTGTTAGAAAGGTAGCCTCTCAGGCCTGTTCTAGACCTAATGTTAAGAATCTGTATTTTTTTTTTTTTTTGAGACGGAGTTTCACTCTTGTTACCCAGGCTGGAGTGCAATGGCGCGACCTCGGCTCACCGCAACCTCCGCCTCCTGGGTTCAGGCAATTCTCCTGCCTCAGCCTCCTGAGTAGCTGGGATTACAGGCACGCGCCACCACGCCCAGCTAATTTTTTGTATTTTTAGTAGAGACGGGGTTTCACCATGTTGACCAGGATGGTCTCGATCTCTTGACCTTGTGATCCACCCGCCTCGGCCTCCCAAAGTGCTGGGATTACAGGCGTGAGCCACCGCACCTGGCCCAAGAATTTGTATTTTAATAAGACTCCAGGAGATTGGATGTAATTTAAAGTGGAGAAGCCCTAAACTAAGACCCTACTCTTTCTAGAAGCCTTCTTTGACAGACAATAGCCCCTGCCTCCCTGCCATGCCAGACAGATGCCTCCTCTTGGGTGTTCCCAACCTTTTGCTCATCTCATTTATTATAGAGTAATTTGCATATGCTTATCTGTTCATGTGTCGGTCTTCTGTCCCAGAGTGAGGGCTCCTCACAGGCTGCAGAACATACCGTCCTTGTGTCTCCCATTTTGCACAAGTCCTGACAGATGGTCAGCGCTTAAGAAATGCCATTTGATACAACTAATAACTTTTTTTTTTTTTAATTGAGATGGAGTCTTGCTCTGTCGCCAGGCTGGAGTGCAGTGGCGCAATCTCGGCTCACTGCAACCTCCACCTCTTGGGTTCAAGCGATTCTTCTGCCTCAGCCTCCCGAGTAGCTGGGACCACAGGCGTACGCCACCACTCCCAGCTAATTTTTGTATTTTTAGTAGAGACAGGGTTTCACCATGTTGGCCAGGATGGTCTCGATCTCTTGACCTCGTGACCCACCCACCTCGGACTCCCAAAGTGCTGGGATTACAGGCGTGAGCCACTGTGCCCAGCCAAGTTCTTATGATTTTAAATTTTATATACTAACTTTAATAGGTTGTTTTTGTTTTTTGAGATGAAGTCTTACTCTGTAGCCCAGGGTGGAGTGCAGTGATGCAATCTCGGCTTACTGCAACCTCCGCCTCCCAGGTCCCAGTTCAAGCAATTCTCCTGCCTCAGCCTCCCAAGTAGCTGGGATTACAGGCATGCACCACCATGCCCAGCTAATTTTTTTTTGTATTTTTAGTAGAGACGGGGTTTCACCATTTTTGCCAGGCTGGTCTTGAACTTCTGACCTCATGATCTGCTGCCTCGGCGTCCCAAAGTGCTGGAATTACAGGCATGAGCCACCATGCCTGGCCCTTAAATAACTAATAGTTTTAACAAGTTCAGTAACTATAACTTTAATAACTAACTTTAACAATGACATCAGATACTTGTGGGCTATGTGTAAAAGTATTACAATTGGCTGGGCGCAGTGGCTCATACCTGTAATCACAGCAATTTGGGAGGCCAAGGCAGGAGGACTGCTAAACTCAGGGATTCGAGACCAACTAGGGTAACAAGGCGAAACCTTGTCTCTACAAAAAATATAAAAATTATCTGGGTGTGCCAGGCGCGGTGGCTCACGCCTGTAATCCCAGCACTTTGGGAGGCCGAGGCAGGTGGATCACAAGGTCAAGAGATCGAGACCTTCCTGGTCCACATGGTGAAACCCCGTCTCTACTAAAAATACCAAAAATTAGCTGGGCATGGTGGCGCGTGCCTGTAATCTCAGCTGCTCAGGAGGCTGAGGCAGGAGAATTGCCTGAACCCAGGAGGCGGAGGTTGCGATGAGCCAAGACTGTGCCATTGCACTCCAGCCTGGGTAACAAGAGTGAAACTCCGTCTAAAGAAAAAAAAAAATTATCCGGGTGTAATGGCATATGTCTGTAGGCCCAGCTACTTAGGAGGCTGAGGTGGGAAGACTGCTTGAGCCTAAGAGGGAGAGGCTACAATTAGCCAAGATTTCGCCACTGCACTCCAGCCTGTATGACAGGGCAAGGCTCTGTCTAAAAAAAAAAAAGCATTACAATTTAGGTTAATCATGTTACATATTTGAATCTAGATACTCAGAATGCTGTGTTTATGTATTCTTCATATTTAAAATATTATACAATTAATTTTAAATTGTATTATGTAAAGTTTCAAACACACATAAAAGTGGGGAAGAATAAAGAACCCCTCACCCAACATCGACAAATATCCACTTTTTTTTTAACCATTCTTGTTTCATCTATTTCTGTCACCCTCACTTAGTCACTCTTTGTGGGGGGCTGGATTGTTTTCAAACAAATCCAAAATATGACGCCATTTCAACCACAAATATTTCAGTATGTATCTGTAATTTTAATGGACTTAACCACCATGCCATTATTGTAGCTAATAAAATTGACAGTAATTCCTTAATATAATCTAATACTCAGTCTGTATTCAAATTTCCCTGTTGCAAAGATCAATTTTTATAGCTGGATTTGTAGAAATTAGTGGGGAGAATGTTTTTCAGCAAACAAAAAATAGTTCTCAATAGTCAAACCAACAGGCCCTAGAGATCTAAGGCGTGGGATCTAGAGACATAAACCTGATAACATTGGAATTTGCTTTTGAAGTCTGCATTTCTCCTGGCTGCAGTAAGAACTTGGGGTTTCTGAGAAACATACTGGCAGAAGCAGTTTCAGGGGTAAATCCAATTACTTCCGAGTTGTTCTTTTAACGGTAAGTTCTGATCCGTGCTCTGCAGGTCAAGAGCACAGTTCGGATTTCTCTCTGCTCCCATTTGAGTGGCACTTCAGGTCTGCCTCCTGCTTGTTGCAGCTCTACACATAACACACAAGGGGCAGAGATCTGGTTTCCATACAATGGCCCACCATTCAGCCAGATTCTGCTTTGTCCCTGTACATTCACTCCCCCTGGCTCCTGCTGGGTCTGTTATATTCAGATATGAACTTTCCAGGAATATGATCATGTCACAGGCCTTTTTCTGTATGACAAGTTCAATGCTAATCATGAATAGCAGGCTTCATACAGAGAGTTAGTATTATTCATGAAAACTGTGACTTCGCATCCAGAAATAGGACAAAAGTGGCCTAAAATAGGCAAGCTGTATCTCGGTTAAATCCACCAGGCAATTACCAACGTCTCTTGCTATGAACAGTACAAGAGTTTTTGCTCAACTATGTTAATCAGACATACTAGAAGCACAATATTCTGCCAGACTCAATGTCTGAGGTCCGGCTTGATGGGGAGCCCTGCTGCCCACAGGGTAAACTGAAGGGTTTTCCAAAGGACCAAAGCCAGACACCGCCCATCCTCTATCCCCAGAAACCAGGTTCTATAGAGCTCTCATTCCCAACTTCTACAAAGCTCTCTGCCCAGACCACTTCAAGGCCATCTTTAGAGATTTAGGAGAGTTATCAAGGGGCCACAGAAAAACTGAAATAATATTTAATTTTCCTTTTCTGGAACAGTAAAGCATATATGGTAAATATTACTAATTAGAGGCATACTAAATGGTTTGTAGCATTTTATAATTCTCTCCTCTAGAACCTGGTTTCAATGACCACATGAATCAGTTACTATTGGCCCAGATTGTATTTTAGAAATGCAAGTCGAAGATTATCTTTCCAAATAAAAGTGCCCAGATTGAAACCCCCTCTTTACCACTCCCAAGAGAATGACACAGGCTGGTACTAAAAGACCATCTTTGTGTTGAACAAATGGACCGAGGAAAATCTGCTTTCCTCTCCTTCTGCCTCTTTCTTCTTTACATAACTAGAGGCAAATGAGATGTTTTTCGTTTTAAAAATTTGATTAAGCAGACTGAGCAAAAGCCCATTCTTCTGTTCTTTACCATTTTCTCAATTTGGGGACTGGATTAAGGCACACTCAGGTTGGAAGGACAGTGAAGCTAAGGCCTAACTGCCAGGCAGTGTTGACATCTGGGCATTTAAATTACAAAATGTGAGTACTAGGTCTGCAGCACTGGTTCAGGGGCTGTCTTTCCCCCTGGAGGCCTTGGAATTCAGACTGCTATTCCAGGTGCCACTGAAAGGGTCCCCAAGTCCCATACACAAGCCTCCTGACCTGAGAGGTAAGAAAGATGGCAGGGCAAAGAATAGGTTTAAATAATAACCTACCTAAATAATTAGAAGAAAAATAACCCAGATAGAATGGTTATGAATGTACTGTCTTTTTCTTCAGCTACAGGCACTGAGCTGTTTTGGCAATTTTTTTTTTTTTTTTGAGACGGAGTTTCACTCTTGTTACCCAGGCTGGAGTGCAATGGCGCGATCTCGGCTCACCGCAACCTCCGCCTCCTGGGTTCAGGCAATCCTCCTGCCTCAGACTCCTGAGTAGCTGGGATTACAGGTGCACGCCACCATGCCCAGCTAATTTTTTGTATTTTTTAGTAGAGACGGGGTTTTACCATGTTGACCAGGATGGTCTCGATCTCTTGACCTCATGATCCACCTGCCTCGGTCGCCCAAAGTGCTGGGATTACAGGCTTGAGCCACCTCGCCTGTCCTTTTTTATTTTTAATTTTTATTTTTTTGGTGAGATGGAGTCGCACTCTGTCACCAGGCTGGAGTGCAGTGGCATGATCTCAGCTCACTGCAATCTCTGCCTCCGGGGTTCAAGCAATTCTCCTGTCTCAGCCTTCCAAGTAGCTGTGACTACAGGTACCCACCACCACGCCCACCTAATTTTTTTGTATTTTTAATAGAGACAGGGTTTCACCATATTGGCCAGGCTGGTCTTGAACTATCTGACCTTGGGCAGGGGCCCTCCCTCTCTGCACTCTTAGTGTTCAGTTCTGTAAACCATCACACTAGGTATTGCGGTCTTACTCTGGCAAGCAGGTATCTCACAGTACTTCCAGTAGACACCATCCTCATGCTCCGCCACATAGCACCAGGGGCTCACATCTCCATCTGGGTTTCTGTTGGGGAAAAGGATAAAACTGATGATTTCTGATGTGTTAACGTAGCTGGTTCATTGCTTTTCAGTTTTACAGAAAAGGAAATGCTTTGCTTCTGTATTGTTTCTAATACTAGGTCTGTATCTCAGTGCCATCTCTTGTCAAAAAGGAAAATATGGTAATATTACAAGAACAAACATATCTACCATGACATATACTTCAGAGTCTGGACAAAAGTGAGCAAAGGTAATATATGTTTAGGTAAATTCACTATAGTTTAACTGGGACAAATGACCACTGCACACATCATGCCAAATAGCACTGGCACCTTGAATGTGAACACGGAGATTCCAAGGCTGAGTGAGCACAGGGGCTCTCAGTGCTGCTGATGAATATGCAAACCGACACAACCGGTCAGAGCAGCAATTTGGTAATTAGAGCCAAAGGCCCTAGAAATATGCAAACCCTCCACTTGGCAATTTCCTCTTTAGAAATTTATTCTAAGGAAAGCTCACCTATATAGATGTTCAACAAAACACTTTTTTTTTTTTTTTGAGATGGAGTTTCGCTCTTGTTACCCAGGCTGGAGTGCAATGGCGCGATCTCAGCTCACCGCAACCTCCGCCTCCTGCGTTCAGGCAATTCTCCTGCCTCAGCCTCCTGAGTAGCTGGGATTACAGGCACACGCCACGATGCCCAGCTAATTTTTTGTATTTTTAGTAAAGATGGGGTTTCACCATGTTGACCAGGACGGTCTCGATCTCTTGACCTCGTGATCCACCTGCCTGGGCCTCCCAAAGTGCTGGGATTACAGGCGTGAGCCACCGTGCCCGGCTAAAACACTTTTATAATATAAAAAACAGGTAGAAATAGCAAATATCCAACAATAAAGGATTGGTTAAATAAATAGTATATCCATAGAAGGGAATACTAGGCAGCTAGGGAAAATGTGGTATAGAAACCAGTCTTATTAATTTGCAAATATATTCAAAATGCCTTATTAGACTCTTTTTTTTTTTTTTTTTTTTTTTTTGAGACAGACTCTCACTTTGTCACCCAGGCTGGAGTGCAGTGCCGTGATCTCGGCTCACTGCAACCTCTGTCTCCCAGGCTGAAACAATTCTCCTGCCTCAAATCTCCCGAGTAGCTGGGACTACAGGTGCACACTTCCACACCTGGCTGATTTTTTTGTTTGTTTTTAGTAGAGGTGGGTTTTCATCATGTTGGCCAGTCTGGTCTCCAACTCCTGATCTCAAGTGATCTGCCCATCTCAGCCTCCCAAAGTGCTGAGATTACAGGCATGAGCAACTGTGCCCAGCCTTATTAGATTTTTTTAAAAAAGAGGCAGCTATAAAACCCAATAGATGACACAATCCCATATTCTGAAAAGACGTACTTAAGAAGGAATGTACACCAAACTCTTATAAAATATCTCTAGACACTGGAACTATTGGTGATTTCAATTTTTTTTTCTTTTCTGGTATTGTTTCCTCAATAGTGAATACTCCAATGGTGTAATTTTTAAACAGTAAAATAAAATTCACTTAATAAAGACTCCACTGACAAGCTTTCATCAGGATCAGGCTCACCATTTGCTAGAAATGGGTGCTATTCCTTCCTCAAAGTGCTGACTCCTCAGAGAATACTGAGGAAAACTGCGTCAGAGTTTCAGTTAGAACTTGTGATCCTGCCATGCGGTACCAATTTCTGATATGGAGATATTTTTAAAGATGTATTTCACATTTCTAAATGAGAATGGCCTGGAATAAATACCCTTTAAGGTCTTTTCAACCCACAGATGCCATAACAATAAACAAGCAACACTACTGAAGCAGACAAATAAAATGGCAGGGGCTACTGGACACCCAGAAAAGACTCCACTGCTTTCCAAGCCCCTTTTATTTAGACTCAGAACACTGGAAACCTGACACTCCAGTTAGGCCGGAAATGGGCATAAAGACCCTGCAGCAGGAGCTGGGGAGCAACCCCTATCAGGCCAGAGCGGGCTAAGCCTATCGTGTGGCCTGGAAGATAAGCTTTCCCAAAGCACAAAGCGTCCTTTTATTTCTTGTGCCCAAAGGCAGGTGCCAGCACCAACTCTGCTCTTCCCCATTCTCTGCCTTCCTTCTAAGCCAGTTACTTTGAGCCCAGAAAAGTGCATTCCCATCACTCGCCAACTCTCAGACATCTCTAATGTGATGGGTCTGAAAAAGTCACACAAGACAAACATGGTGTCGGGTGTCAGCTGAGAAATCAAAGTAGGAGAACTTGTACAAAGCCCTTCTTTAAACAATATTTCACTGTCATTTTCCTCCCTCTATTCAGTGTTCAGCTTTGATGTAGTATTTATTTGGTAAAGCCCTTAGAAAACAACTGTTTATTATCAATGTCAAAACCATATTGAAAAGCATCAGAATAGCTTAATAAAGAACAAGCAAATCCATCCTTGACTTTGCTGCAGTGCTAAAACAAAAGGCCTGGACTCTTTGATGTAATAATCCACAATTTCAGCCTCCCTTTTCCAAAGTATAAACTGGTATGAAATAGTTCAGGTCTCCTGCATTCCATCAAATCAAAGGAGAAGGTTTGATATGATGGCTGCCCAGGGCTAAGGAGAAAGGTCGTCCCTCCTGGCTCTCACCGCTCTCTTAATGGAAGTTTATGGGTGCATTTCTAGGAGCCTGTGAGTAGAAGTGGGTGCTAATCCATAAGAAAGAAGAATTTTTTACATAAATTAGGCCTCACTGGAAATTTGAAATTTACCTTAAAGTCATATTTAAGGCTGGGTGCAGCGCCTCACACCTGCAATTCTAACACTTTGGGAGACTGAGGCAGGTGGATCACAAGATTGGGAGTTTGATATCAGCCTGGCCAATATGGTGAAACCCCATCTCTACTAAAAATACAAAAAAAATTAGCTGGGCGTGGTGGCACATGCCTGTAATCCCAGCTACTTGGGAGGCCGAAGCAGGAGAATTGCTTGAACCCAGGAGGTGGAGGTTGCAGCTAGCCAAGATTGTGCCACTGCGATCCAGCCTGGGTGACAAAGAGAGATTGCGTCTCAAAAAAAAAAAAAAAAAAAGTCAGACTTAAAAACAGGAGTTCTTCTAAGATTTGTTTGATAGGAAGCAACAGAGCAATAGAATAAACCAACAGCCTACTACCAAGAGACACTTTGGAAAAAGAAGATAAGTAACTATGGAAAGACAAAAACCAAGTACTTGTTTCTCTTCCTAAACACTCTTCTCAACCCAACCCAACTATTCCTATAAATAGAAAACCTAGAGTAAGGTAATAAATAAAAAATGGGGTGAGACTAATTTTTTAATTAATGCAAAAAATAAATTAACATGTATAAGTTTGAAAATAAGGAAAAATTATTTAATGAGCACATGTAACTTTTTTTTTTTTTTTTTTTTTGAGACGGAGTTTTGCTCTTATTACCCAGGCTGGAGTGCAATGGTGCGATCTCGGCTCACCACAACCTCCGCCTCCTGGGTTCAGGCAATTCTCCTGCCTCAGCCTCCGGAGTAGCTGGGATTACAGGCACGTGCCACCATGCCCAGCTAATTTTTGTATTTTTAGTAGAGACGAGGTTTCACCATGTTGACCAGGATGGTCTTGATCTCTCAACCTTGTGATCCACCCGACTCGGCCTCCCAAAGTGCTGGGATTACAGGCTTGAGCCACCGCGCCCGGCCGAGCACATGTAACTTTAACAATGAAATACAACAGATAGCAAAATGTGACATGGCAAATACATAAATTGTCTCTGGGACTTGGGACTTGGTGGGGAGAGTTTCAAGAAAAATGGGTAAAATGGGAAACTTTAACTGTTTAAACAGCATACATCTGCAGTGTTTGCGAAGTTTTTTTAGAAAACAAGCTTTTAACACTTTTATAACATGCAAAATAAGTCAATGGTAACTAGGAGGGAATGGTGAGTTGATATAAGATAGGACAGAGGTGAAGGGAAGTGCTGAAGGTATGGGGATAAAGAGAACATAGACTAAAGGCCTGGTGACTTTGAGATAACTACAAGGGCCCTAGAGTGTTAGCAAAGGTATGTAGAGGGCAGAAGGTAAATAGTGTGGCCCACGAAATACAGGAAAATGTATGTTGGCTCAGCTGGGTCAATAGCACCATGGCTGAGATTCCAACATATGTAGAACCAGGGACATGGCGTATAGTTCAGCAATCATTTTTTTCCTGTCCCAATGGCTCAAGAGGCTGCCTTTGCACCTGTCCTAATAATAATTAAATTCAGTGCATTGCTGAACCGTGAGTCTCATTACCAGGATCTTGGGCACAAGCAGCACAAATGTGTAACCAGAAGTGCTTACAATCTTTTTTCTGGGCCCTACATACCAGTGATTCTGAACCTGTTTTCAATCACAGATAACTTTGAGAAGCTGATCAAAGCTATGGATCATCCCCAGGAATTGTGAATACACATTTGAAGTACCACGGATGTCAGGTTGAGAGCCCCTGCTAGGGTCAGACAGGAGGTGAAAAGCAAAGAAACACTTAGTCTACTAAAAGGAAGTAAACAGCACACATCTGATGGATACAGCTGTTCCCAGAGCAAGGTTATCCTGGGCTGGCCGGAGGTAGAATAATGTAGGCAGCTTCCTTTGCTCAGAAGCAGGAGGCTTGGGTCACAGATGGTGCTGTTTGACCATGACATTCTCAGTAGCGTAGGCTGCTCTTCTAATTGTGTATTGTCCACTGGTGGTAGGGCTAACTGAGAAAACCTTCCCAAAGAGACAAGAAGTGATCAGACAGAAAAGCAGAGCTTTGGAAACTAGCATTAAAGAATGTTAATGAGTGAAAAGAGTGTTGAAAAGAATGGCAAATTGTGTGTGTGTGTGTGTGTGTGTGTGTGTGTGTGTAAAGTGTGGAAGAAATATTTTAAAAGCTGACAAAATAAGTCTCTGAGGTGGCCAAAAGGTTTTCCCAAGTTGTGAGCTGGGATGAAAGGGGTTCAAAGAAGAGACCAGATATACATCTGTCTTTTTAAAGTACTGCGTGGCCCCATCTTACCTGCAGTAGTTGTGCTCACCCAGGCCCCCCTCCCCGTTGGGGTATTTCAGAGTATTGTATGGATGCTGGAAAGTTTCGTTCCAAAACAGACATGGCTTCCCGCCTTGTAGTGCTGTCCAGTTCTGTGTTCCCCTATAATCCGCACCATTGGCTGTGAAACACTCTAGGAGAAAGAAAAGACAGAGCAAACTAATTTTCTGGCAACATTCATAGTTTCCTCCCTCTTTGGTTGATGTTTTGTTTTGTTTGGACCAAGTTGGAAATGGATAGTGTCTTGCTAGATCCTGGACACAGTGCAGTTAACACTTCTGGGGCTAAATAAATCTGAAATAGGTACCCTCAAAAAGCCAGACTAATCTTGGCACTAGCTTGTCTACAGACAGTAGAACATTTTCCCGTAAAGCATGCAGATCCCAACTAGGATATAAACAGAGAGCTGAAGTGTACTGAAGTCCATGAAGTGAACCAGGAAACCCCCAAATCTGGGAACAGTTGGTAACAGCCATCCACGTGGAATTCTGGGTACTCGGAGGGGGTCACTGCTCTCGCCAGTTTCTCTGTGTGGTAACTAGAACCAGGTCACCAGCTGTAACTGAGCTCTCCCCTACAGTCTGAAAGGCTACACTGACACTTGGATTTAATAAGACCATCGGATACAGCAATGCTTTGGAATCCCAATCACACAAATCTGGGAATGACTCACATTCCCTGGTAATGAAGAACAGTCCTCCCCATGCTGTTTGAGATAGAGGTGCAACAAAACAGTCAGCAGGAGGGAGGAAGGGCCGAGTTGGCATTTTCTCTCACCTCTTTCTGAAATTCTTTCTACAAGGCACATTGAAAATCGTCTCAGGTCCAATTTAATAAAATGACAAATCCTCGCAGGTGCAACAATGTGTTTCTAAAATCTGCTTCTTAGACTTTGGGGGATGGGAACTGAGGCTGATACGATTTTCACCCACATATTGCATGCATTAAACTTGAAGAGGTTCATGAGACAAGCACAGTACAAAGAACAATTTTTAGAAAGTAGCTTAGTTGAAACCGACAGATAGAAGCACTTCAAACACTTTTTAAAGATATATCACTAGAAAACTGACAATCTGGGGGATTTATACTAGCATTCTCAGCTGTATTTCTTTCCTTCTCCTGGCATGCACTGACCTTAAACTTCTAGTATTAAGGACTCTTAATGCCATCTCTTAGTGCTGTCCATGTGCCTACTCTATTCTAAGCATGTGAACAACACGAGCACATTCTGGAAGATATTTCTTTTAATACTTCAAACTATCCACAGAACATCTTTCTTCTAGTACTCTCTTCCTCTGACCATCCAGACCCTGTGTTTTGTCTGGAATGGCACCATTTTATGGATAGCCAAAATAATCTGATTGTCCAGCTATGCAAAAAAACCCTAGCAATTTATTATTTATTATTTATTATTTTATTTTTGTTTTTTGAGTCTCGCTCTGTTGCCCAGGCTGGAGTGCAGTGGTGTGATCTCAGCTCACTGCAACCTTCACCTCCCAGGTTCAAGATTCTCCTGCCTCACCCTCCCTAGTAGCTGGGGTTACAGGCACCTGCCACCACACCCAGCTAATTTTTATATTTTCAGTAGAGACGGGGTTTCGCCATATTGGCCAGGCTGGTCTCAAACTCCCGACCTCAAATGATCTGCCCACCTTGGCCTCTCAAAGTGCTGGGATTACAGGCATGAGCCACTGCACCCGGCCAACCCTAGCAATGTATCATGTCTGGTGCAAAGCTCATGTGTTATGATAAGAGCAACTCTTCATGTACCATGAAGCCAAACCCTCAACCAAGAGTCTGCATATATAAGTTCAAAGGTAATTGAAAGAGGCAGCTCAGTGTAGCATAAAATGCACTAAACCAAGAGACTAAGCCTTGGCTTCTTATCCTGGACCTACTGCTGACCAGCTGTGTGACCTTGGATGAATAAACATCATCCAAATCACTTCTAATATTTACACAGTGTTTTACCATGTGCCAAACTCTGTTTAAGTGCTTTACAAATGTCAGCTTACCACCAATCCAGAGAGGTACCTTAGTACCCCATTTCACAGATGAGGGAACTGAGCACTCGACCATGCCTGTGCTGCCTCTTCTGGAACCCCTTTTGCATCATCCTTGTTTCCCCATTCTCTCCCTCACTCCACTTCCAATTCATCAGCAAGTCCTGTTGACTTCCTTAAAACTTGTACCCTGAAACTGGCTTCTCCTCTCCATCTTTGATGCCAACAGTATAGTCCCCTATATCATCAGAGAATGGTTTGGGTCTCACAGCTTCCACTTCTGTTCTCTTACAGTCCATTCCCCATAGGTCTTAAGAGAATGATGGCACTCAGAACAAAATCAACTCTTCCTCGGTGTTTGCAAGGCCTCTGTGATGCAGCCTCAGCCCCTTCCTCCCACTGAAACAGAGCTCTTCCCTTACTCACTTGCTGTGCTCTAGCCACACTGGTCTGCTTTTAATTCTGTGAGTACACTATGCTATTTCCTGCCCAAAATGTTCTTTCCCTAATACTTCCCATCACAGACTAAATACTACCTCCTCAGAAAGCCGTTCCCATCATCTTTACTGCTATTTTTCTAGCCTTTGTTTGCTTCACAACACTTACTATCACAAGGAATATATGTGATCTGAGAGAGAGAGAGACAGACACACCAGAGCCCTATTCCAACCCCAGAGCTAGAGTAGGAACGAGACCTGTAGTTTTGAGAAGCAGCTCAGGTGGTTCTATTAAGTAATCAGGTTTGAGAACCACCAGACTAGATGATTCTAAGAACATCAAGCCAACCAACTGCTAAATTTTAATTGCTGTGTTTTAATACATCTTTTTCTAAAATGCCAATTGCTAGAATTTTAATTGCTATGTGTTAATACATCTTTTTCTCCTATGAGAACTTGTATAGCAAAACATCATATTGTACCCCTTAAATATATAGGATAAAAATAAATTGTTTTAAAAAGCATGAGTGGTGATCCAGCAGCCAGAAATGCAACTCAATATATCAATAGAAGGTCTTAGCTATACATAGCAACCTGCAGGGCAGGAGGGGGTCTGAGACTTGGATGATTTGGTTTGTAATACAAAGGAATGTGGCAAATGTGTAATAAAAAGAATCCACACACATGACTGTCCTTATAAATGGAGACAAGATGGCATCTGAGAGTGGAAGTGGGAAAGTGCAGGCTTGTTTGCTTGGGTCTGTTCCTCTTAAACCCGATTTTGTTCTCAGTTACACTGGGGAAACTGAGGCAGTATAACACATTCTGTGATTGTTTTTTGACCAGCCTTGCCCAGTACTTATCAATTGTGGAGAAAAGCAAGAAAAACAAACCTGAAAGCTCTGAATTTTTTTGTTTTGAGATGGAGTCTCACTCTGTCACCAGGCTGCCCAATATTGCAGTCTCAGCTCACTGCAACCTCTGCCTCCAGGTTCAAGCAATTCTCCTGCCTCAGCCTCCTGAGGCCCACCACCATGCCCAGCTAATTTCTGTATTTTTAGTAGAGACAGGCTTTCACCATGTTAGCCAGGCTGGTCTCAAACTCCTGATCTCGTGATCAGCCCTCCTTGGCCTCCCAAAGTGCTGGTATTATAGGTGTGAGCCACTGCACCCTGCCAAATGCTCTGGATTTAAAGTCATCTGTGCATCTTGATTTCATCAGATACTAGGATGTGTATTAGGTAAATAGTACCCTACCTCCCTTATTTTTTTCTTCAAAATAGTGATTTTATTTCCTTTGTATATATACCTAGAACTGAGATTGCTGGAATATGGTCATTCTATTTTGAATTTTTTGAGGAACCTCCATACTGTTTTCTATAGTGATTATATTAATTTTTTTAAACTTTATTTTAGGTTCCAGTGTACATGTGAAGGTTTGTTACATAGGTAAACTTGTGTCACAAATTTACATAGGTAAATTTGTTACACAGATTACTTAATCACCCAGGTACCCAACAGTTATCTTTCCTGCTGCTTTCCCTCCTCCCACCCCCAACCCTCAAGTAGACCCCAGTGTCTATTGTTTCCTTCTTTGTGTTCCTAAGTTCTGTCGTTTAGCTCCCAGCCTCCCTTATTTTCTACTGCTATGAAACTGATGTAAGCTTTGGCTAAATAAGCAAGGAGTGGCTTAAACCAATAAACACACACACGCGCGCGCGCACACACACACACACACACGGCCAACTGTTTATGTATTCAGTGAAAAGAGAATGAGTGAAGGCAAGAGATCTAATGTCTAGGAAATTATTCATTAATTAGTTCAGCAAATATTTATTCAATATTATGTGCCTGGCACTGTTGACAGCACTGGGGCTACAGAGAAGAACAAAGATCTTGTATTCATGGAGCTTACATACTTACAGTAAACTGATCAAAGTTATTATCAGACAGTGATAAGTGCTATTAGAAGGAATGAAGCAGAGTAAAGGGAGGGATATGGAATGGGGAGGGTTCCCTCTTAGAGTGGGTCAGAGAAGGCCTAGTGAGTAGAGATGTGGATGAAGGGAGGAAGCAAACCCAGTCAAGGAAGTGGGAGGTGCTGGCAGAGGGTCCAGCAAATGCAAAGCCCCTGCAAATGGCAATATGCTTGGCAGGTCTGGGGAGCTACACAGCTGCTCCTCTAATCTGACTGAAGTAAAAGAATAAGTAGGGAAGGGCGGGCAAGGCCAGGATGTGTAAGGTCTTGGGGGTTAAATAAATGAGATTTTGGCTTTTTTTGTAAGTGTAAGGGGAAGCCACTGGAGGGCTTTGAGCAAGGGAATGACATGATGTGACTTATCTTTTATTTTTATTTATTTATTTTTGTGACCTGTTGGGTAGAGGAAAAAACATTGATAGGAACTAGGCAGGGAGAATAGTACGTAGTTACTGTGGAAGGATGGGCTAGAAAGGATGGCCTGGACTAGGCTGGCAGCTGTGGGGTGGTGAGAAGTAGACAGATTCCAGACATATTTTGAAGGTAGTGGCAAAAGCATTTGCTGGGGGTTTGGATACAGGGACTGAGAGACAGAGGGGTCATAGAGAACATCAAAGGGGCCTGAGCAACCAGGTGAAAAGTCATACCATTTACTGTAATAGGGAGGGCCCAGGAAGGTCAGAGTGTTTTGGGATAGAATCAAGAGTTTGGTTTT